CGCCGGCACGCACGCCGGCGGACTATGAAAGCAGCCAATGTGACGTCATCTGGATTCTCTTGGAAAAGTCAATGACGAGCGAGAAAGCAGGTGATACAGGTGATGTGATGGTAGTCGAGCTTCTCTTAGTCCTCTGCTATGTCACGACTTCTAGAAATCAAACCGCTCGCATTTTCGACCCAACTAGTATTAAAGGCACAGTTTACGATAAAAATGGCTTCGTCATTCTTCCCCTAGGAATACCAAACCCCCCAAGGGTAGCAGGAAGGACTCTGTTGAGTCCTAAAAGTCGAGAGCCGGGACATAGTGGGAGCCACATTACCGGATCGCTCGGACTTCCCGCCCCTCGATCGGTGTCACGTGGGATGGGCGTCAAGGCGATACAGATTGCAATATTCGTTCTTGGACCCACACACAAACAGCTTATCGCCGAATGATGAGGCAATGTTTCTCTCCCATCCTTTTATCCTCTAGTACTTTTTTCGCTGCTGCGATCCTTACTGTGATTTTTCGCCTCGATAGGCTGAAAAATGTGGGCTATTTTTGCTGTTACTGGGGTGCTCATGCTTATGAGTGAATGAAACGTTGCCCACTGTAGTCAGCTATTCGCACCAGGACCCACACGTACGCAATGCACACATTGCATAGCTCGTCCAAATGCCCCATTCTTCGGTATTTTTCTGATCTCACTCTCGTCCACCCCCCTTTTTAATGATTTTCCGAACCCTGTTTTTCACCTTGGAAATACCGACTCACGCATTTTCTCCGCCATCGCACTATTATCCATTTTATCTTCCATTTTTCGTCACAATCTTTATTACCCAAAATTATCGTGAACCATGCCTTGGAGACCCTTGTGTTACCCATTTCTCGGGCTCCTGAGCATGGCTGAGCGTAAGCTACTTAGTAAATTAATTAAGTTATAAGCGTCATACTGATAATTTTATCATGTTCACTTCACCTTCGGCCTTTGTTATCATGTGTCATAGCTCATATTCTCACCATATTGACCATCGCTCCAACTGGTAGTACAAATTTTGCAACTCGATCGTCAACACCCAATTCATCCAGACAGCGAAACGTTACTGGCAACGATGCTGCACTAGAATCATAAAATAGATCATTCACAGACTGTTCTCCTGCTTTGATTAGATGAAATACTTGAAAACGGGAGGGCAGATGATACAATGGATTCAATGGAGAGCCGTTGCGCGCGTCCGTCCAAAGTAGGTCACCCCACATCGCGCGCAGCGCACCCCACTGGGGTTTCGAGATGACATTACAGTACCACCAGGTGTGTGTCAGTGGAACGAATGACTTGCATTTGCCCGTATTATCTTCTCCTTGAGCTGACTGCCGCGGACCAAGCTCATATCGTATGCCCCACTGACAACTGCGACGTCCGTCAAGTACAGCGGGCTGACCTGCCGCATGCGACGACGCGGCGTGACCTAATTTCGACGGACGCGCGCAACGGCCCAAACGAATTCAATGGATAACAAACTAGCCTTTCTTACCTCGAAGAAGTTCCGAGTGCGGTTAGGACAGCCTGACCTAATCCTTTCAAGAATACGTAAGGGTTTTGACGAGTGCCAACATAGTAAATCAAAGGAAGCGTTCCGAAGCACTGAATGGCGAGTCCTTAACAGTAATTCACATTGGAGTGTATTTATGTTTGTGAAACTCGCGAACTTGACGATTTCCCGAGAGTAGATGCAGTTAGGCTGTTTACCACTCGACTGAAACCGCTTAAAGGCACAGTTCACGATAAAAATGGTTTCTGCGATTTTTCCATAGGATGAATTTGAGGTCCCCGCGTATACCTTATTTGGCGCTGTCATGTCGGAAAACGGCTTAGTTAGGGAGGTATAAAGGCTCAAAGATTGGCTCGTGTGTATCCTCGGACGAGTTTCACCGGCATTGTAAAGGCTGCACCGATCACAAGGGAAGCCATGTAGAAAGTTCAAACAACTTGTCATGACCCATAACGACAGTGAGAGGCAGTTCTGTACAGTTCTGGCTTGATGTAGTCCGCACTTTGTGCAATTGCAATAACTAGAATCTCGTCCTAATGCCCCTCCCATGTTATTTCCGTCATGGTAATCTCGTCCAACCTCTATTTTTCCTACATTTTTAGGAGCCTTATTTTCCTCAGAATCGGCGAATTTTCTCGCTTTCTTCAACCAATGTACTATTCCCATCCTGTACTTCCGCTTTTCGACTAAAAAGGGGTACCGCAAAATTATCGTGAACTGTACCTTTAATCACTATGCCGGTAAATTACACAAAACTTTACACTTTGCATACATTTAACTAAAACTTACCTATAACGACGGTGATTATGAACAATGCCAGAGTTTGAGCTGTCGCCACAAGGTCATATACCTCCAGCATTTTGCATGCAATCAGTGATGGTATTCCTATAGGGCCAAACCTCAAACAACCGTCTCTTTTACTCTTTTCAAGTTAGAAATAAGAAATTACCAACCACATAACGATTAGCACCATCCTAGTGATCACTGCGTCGAGTGCCATGAAGAATTTGGCCAATGGCTCAGCTTGTTTGCCTAGTCGAGAAATCACAATGCCCATCACAATGCAGAAAATGATCAGTCCTGAACAGGCGTTTCTGTAGAGTTAGGGAGGACCTGACGACTTTTGGCATTGGGTACCACACAGCAGGTCCCTGTGTGGTGCCTAGGGAAGGATAATCAACAAACCGAGAACATTCATTCCATCCGAATACTCAACTTTACTCTTCTGTATCACAGATCCATCTGAAGCATTAACCGTCACATATACTGTCTGCTGCTGTTGAAACGTTGATCGAACAATGTTCTCAGGTAACATATTCCTGTCAAGTGGATATAGCATTAGTTATGTTCCATTCCTCGTTTCCACCCCATGCTTTTACCTACTCAGGCTATAGACTTTCTTTTTCGGTCCTACAAGTAAGAAGAACTGTCCTTTACCTGAGAAGATCAAGAAATTTATCTTCTGTGGTCACCATTGCGACAACTTCATCATTGGAGGCTACTTTTGCTTGCTTGATTCGAGGATCTCCCGGATGAATAATTAAAACCATGATAATTCCGAGCTGAATTGAGGATTTGTGATGATACCGATGATACACGAGACCAAGTTGTCTAGAGTCTAGAGCTCAAAGACGCAGTTCACGGTAAAATGGTTTCTGAGATTTTTTGGCTAGAATGAATCCAAGGACCCCATGGTACATGAGCCGATCGGAAAACGGCTTGGACAGGGCATAATAAGGGCTTCGAAACCTGTTTGGCCGGTTCGGTTGGTCAAAGTGGCCGTGTTATGTCGGTCTTCTTATTACTGTACTATTCAAAGAGCGAGAAAAATAGTACGCTCACGCGAGAGACACTCAGACGGATATGCCATCTCGTGCAAGCCCTTCTTGCTACTTCTTGAAACAAATCCGAAAATAAATTTTTTTCTAAATCCGAACAAGTTTTGCGCTTCAGCTCTCGCCACTCTTGCACAATTCCGCCCCACGGCTTTCATCATTTTACGTTAAAGGTACAGTTCGCGATAAAAACAGTTTCTGAGATTTTCCTATAGTATGGCTTGAGCCTCTGCTTTATACTATACCTGCCGTTGTCGAAAAATGTCCTGGATAGGGCATAATAAGGGGCCAGAGATTGTATCGCGTAAATGCCACACCCATCGTGGACGAGTTTCAACGGTTTTTTAGAGGCTGCATTGTCTCAAGAGACTCCGATGTAGGAAAATCAAACAACTTGTCATAACCCGTGGCGAGAGTGAAAGACAGTTTCGGACAATTTCGGCTTGATATGGTCACCTCTACGCGCAATGGGAGCAAGTTGAATTTCGTCCAAAGAGCCCTTACATGCCACTCCCTTCACAGTGATCTCGTACAACTTCCATTTCCACTACTTTAAAGAAGCCTTGGAGTGGGCGGATTTTCTCGCTTTCTTCGCCTCTACATCGGCACTTCAGCTTTTCTACCAAAAAGGGTACCTCGAAATTATCGCGAACTGCACCTTGAAAAGGGGGCTATTCCAAAGCAATTGGCATTGTATTAACATTTTAAAACAGACAGCAGGAGTATACCAAAACTGCATGAGCAGTGGTGAGAGAGTAGTAGAACACAGCCCGTCTGCCGAGTTTTCCTGACGTACTTGCATCTAGTTGAGAGAGACCTCAACACAAGAATTCACGTCTTTATAAGTATGAGCGAGAAGAAGAATTTACCAGAAATAAGGCTGGCAACGATAAGTGGCAAAATCATTGCCTTGAGCATGTTCATGAACAATTCTCCAGGGAAACCAATAAATTTTCTGACTTCTTCACTGGGATTCAAATATCTGAATGCCAAAGATTTAAGCAATCTAACAATAAGACTGAACATTGAACCTACCGAAGCAATCCACCACCGATCACACCCAAAACGACACCACTGATAGTGAGAATCAACAAGATATCCCGGCTCGAGATAGACCTCAGCAGTCTCATCTCGATAATGAATCTAAAATTTATTCTAGAGCAATGAGCCAGGTCTGTATGTGCCGGAGCGGTACAAAGTGCCTGCAAAGAGGATACGAAGGAAGGGTTTTAGATATAATGTATAAGAAAAAAAGAAAAGAAGCAGTACTATTAAAACGACCAAAAGAACCAAGGAAGTGCAGCCGACGCCTCTCACTTCAGCATGAACTTTCCCATCTCCCTAACCTCAGAATGCTTGAGAGAGCTAACCATAGGTAACAACTATTCGAGTATCGCAAGATTTGTCGTGGTTTAGAGGAACTAGTATTTATCACGAGAACAGACCATATATCTTCTCGGTTGTGCATGTAAGGGGCTCACTTTGACCTATCAAACGGTACAAAATTCTGTAACTATTAGAATATCAAGAAAATATTGGTAAAATCCATCTCTAGGGTTTCATGAGCACAGAAAACTTAATATGCGATATATTTTGTGAAAGTGAGAATTGAGCTGTAAGTAGTTTGACAAGAGAACCATATTTCGGTATCCTGTATGTTGCTGGCTCACCAATTGGGACAGGAAGCTCTGCGTTGACTTAGAACCATTCGTTTTTTATAGATATCATCACTTATTAGAAGGTGTCCCTTCTAAAAAGTGATGATATCTACAAAAAACGAAGCGGCTTGACACAGAACAACAAGAACATCAAAAAATATCGGCAAGTGAATGCCAAGGATGCCGGTGGAGCCCCACCACAAGCAGAGATTGCGTAGGAGGAAGACGTCGACATTTTCTAAAATTTGTAGTCTAGAAGAACGATTCAAAAGCCACGAAAGTGGGCCCCAAATCGGCCGACATCAATCAAAATGAAGCATGAATAAATATGAGCATGCTGAAAACATGAGAATGCTGAGAAGGTTTTTTGAAGGCTCTTTTTGGTGAAATTGGATCTGTTTAATAGTTAAGAATGAAAAGAAATGTTTGAACACGTGTTGACCTAGACCAACCAGCAACTCATCTGAGACGGCCATTTGATGTTAGTCTTGCCCGTATACCTTTTTATATGGAAAGTTCAGGCAGGGTTCGATGGCCGGAAGGTGGTGATTTCCACTGGGTGTAGTACATGCACTGCCAGGAGTACAGCAAAAACTTGTCATCACTGTGTATCAGGGCGTGGTCCAGTAGGATCGAAATTGTCGTGTCGCGGCGAGAGGAACGCCGCGCGCGAAGGAATTTAGCAGAATGTAGCAGAGTGCCGCAGCAGGAAAGAAATACAGTAACAAAGGTACTAAAAGTAGAGTACTGTCCAAAATAATGATCGCATATCGATTGAGCTGTATTAAGAAGGCTGGAGCTGTAATAACGGCAAAGCGAATGGTTCGCGAAGGCCGCGTGCGGCGAATCGATTTCACAAATCGATCCTACTGCCCGTCTCCCGTGTGTATCATAATATTAACTATTACATCATATTGGCAATTTTGTGTATAATGCCCGGCGTGAATAGATACAATGTGAAAAATACGGATTCCCTGAGCTAGGAGGATCGTAGACTGCCTTAGGAAGCCATTGAAGGCCGCAGGATTACGATATTTGGGGAGAACCTACCTGATGACTGTAGTATGGACCAGGCTGTGAAGCCACGAGTAAATAGGGCATGGATGACTTAGAGGGAGCCCAGCGGTGCTTTGTGTGACTAACGGTACTGAAGGTAGCTCACAAGAAAGTTACACAGAGCAGTTTTGTTTTACAGCAGCGCGTGCTGTCCCCACTCAAAATTTATGAAAGCTAATTTCACTATGAGAAATACTAATGTGATTGAAAGAGGTCGTTGTAATATGCCTATGATCGGATGCGACCTGTTCGGAAAATCACGAATGTCATGCAAACGCCCCCAGTGCGATTCAAGATGAGGGACCAGCACCTGATACGGTCGACCACGAAAAGCCCCAAAAATTAATTAGCGCAACGTGATCATGAAAAACTCACCGAAAAAAGCTCCGGGAATGTGTTGTCGCAGATAGAGGGATACGAAGATGATCAACAGGGACAGCGGACTCTGCGACGACTTGGGACTAACTCTGTGGACAAGAAGAAGAAATGAAGGAGAACGACTGACTTCTTTTCGAATTCAGAATTAGAAATGCGCTGAGCCAGCCACTTTCGTTTTTAGATCAATGTGATGTGATGTGATGTGATGATAACAATGATGTATGCGAAATTCGTGACACCTTTTATAACTTTTGTTTACATTTATGACCCCCGTGTTGTGTGAAAATCCACAAAATTTCACTTGCTTTTTTCAAGTTAGTTTTCCGAGAAGGTCGCATTTCTGATTATCGGCTTTTGTTGGGAGACGGGCAGTAGGATCGGTTTTGTGTTGTCGATTCGCCGCACGCGGCCATCGCAGACCATTCGCTTCGCCATTTTTACAGATCTAGCGTTCTTTATGCAGTTCAGTCAATATGCGATCATTATTTCAAGCATGGTTTTACTGTTAAGTCTTTTGTTCCTATATTTCTTACTTGCTGCTGCATTCGGCTACATTCTTCCGCGCGCGCCGTCGATCTCGCTGCGATGCGAAGATTTCGATCCTACACCCGCCATTATCATATCACCCATTCACTGAGCTCTACACTTATCACTAGT